CACGTGCAAGGCAACGACTTACCCGCTGTGCTATTGCTCCAGCCCAATAATAATAATAAATAAATAAATAAAATAGATATAAAAGGTTGGCGACCTTTTATATCTATTTAAAATGCTGACCCCTGAGTGCAGAGTCATGAGCAAGCCCTGAATACAGTTGGGTGTGGAGCAAAACCTTACAAAAATAAATAGGTACACAAGTCAAAGAGTTACTAGTAATAAATCAAAAATTTATTTTACAAGCAAAGTTTTCATGACCCTCACATTTAAGTATGAAACCCCATGTGGGATTCTGATCCAATTTAAGAAGCCAGGGTTTAGATTACTACTGAAGCTAGTGAAATTGCCTATAATCTTCTACCATTCGAATTCTTCCTCTGACCCGCTACTACCAAATTTGATCATGCTTAAATAAGGCTTGTCCACAGGAAACCTAGTATCTTACTTTATATACCTATATTTTGGATATACAATTTACTGTGTCCTTTAATTCCCCCTAGATCTGGTGAAAACCTTCTCTACCTTCAGAATCTAGATCAAACAAGACTCCTGTAAAGCTTTCCCAACAGGATCACTGCACAACCCTGCACACACATTCACTTTCACATATCCTGTTGCTTGCTTGTGGTACTGTTCTTACCTACACTCATTCATTCAAAAGGTTATCTGCAGAGTCACATTGACATACATGTCACACATTGTGCCATGGGCTGGGATATGAACTAAAAAACAAGACAGACAAGGCCTCCTCCCTTACAACTATAATCCAACAGGAACACAGATTACTCAATCATTACCCAAATAATGCATGATTATAATTGTGGCAAGTGTAATAAAAGATTCAGATTGTACCTTATGTGTGGATATAGATGCCTAAACCAATCTGGGAAGATCACAGAGAAACAGTACCTTTGAGGGGACATTTAAACAGAAACTGGAAGACAGGTAAAACTGCTTAGGTGAAAATTTCATAGAGGGCATAGAAGCAAAAGAACAGCACAAAGGCCTTGTGAAAGCATTCTAGAAACTGTGAAGACCACCAATAGACAACAGTCAGGTTACAAGGGGAACATCAGTCTCGAATACATATAAGGTGGTACACTTCCTGAAAACATTAATGTAACATTTAATACAATATTCTAGAATCTTCACTTACAAAACTTCATTCCCCACTAAATAAACTCGGTGAGCTCATTACAAATGCTTTTAGATCCCAAAGTACAGTACTTTACAGTGGCCCCTCAAGATTTATAGCATGAAGAAATGAGTAATATGAGCGAGGACCTTAATTTTTCTACCAGATGGGTGGAAGAATCCCTAAGATTCAAAAACAGGATTCTTAACTAGAGCAAAACTTATTGGAAATGACACAGTTTCATGTCAACTGACACATACTCAAGTAGCAAAGATAGCATTAATTGTAGATGTAATTGTAGATCAACTGTAATTACAAATACGAAAGTTTAGGTTGCCAAAGGTCTCTATACCCTCACTGCTCCACAAAGTGACACAACCTAATAACCAATAAAACTGCTTTAAAAACTCCCACGGAGTCACGAATGAGGCCAAGCAGAGGAAGCAAAGCTCCATCTGCCTGTTCTTATTCTCCAGGTGCTCAACAGACTTGGTAAGAGCAGGATCAGGACTAGGAAACTGGCTCCTACAATATCCAACCCTCCTCCCTTCTTAAATAGTCCATTCGAGAAACACACACTACTGACTCAGTAAGAAAACGTTAAAATACCAATGATATACCTCTCACACCAAAAGGGTAATATCTAGCCCTAGACTTTAGTTTTGGTAACTGTTCTCAAAGAGCAAAGAGGGCACATTCTTATAAGACAAAAGACCAAAAAAAAAAAAAAAAAGATTGCGTTAACTGAGAAATAGCTTCAAAATACATGAAGAGCTTGATGCGTTATGAGATGAGAAATTGGAGTGTTAGAATAAGATCCTTAGCAAGTCTTTTTTAAAGACACATTTTATCAGATTTTCCTACCGTGTGCCAAAATGAGAGTAGAACAGGTAAGGTACATGCCTTGCATGCAGTCAACCTGGGTTCAGTCCACAGCATCCAATATGATTCCCCTAGCCCCACCAGGACCCCTGAGCATGGCCCAAGAGTAAGCCCCGAGCACTAATCCTGGCCAGATCCCTGATTAGGACCCAGGAGTAAACCCTGAATATTGCCAAGTGTGGCCCAAAGACCAACAAGGGAAAAAAAAAAATTCCTAACTAGTATATGGTATATACTGAAGATGCAGAATCACATGACATACCACAAATTCTATCAAGAACTCAAAAAAATTAGGTTCCACTATATCAAAGATGCAAAAACTTCACAAGATTAATTTAAATTTATCAACACTGAAGTCTAATTTTTTAGAACTATAAAATCAAGCCTGAAATCAGTATAAATAACTGATTATTTCTTCCTGAGAGGTTCTGATAAAAAATGACTTAGAGGATCATTTTAACAACATTCTGGCTTTAGTCTCAACAAGGAAAAAGTAATGATCTTTCTAACATCACCGAGTTCATGCTTTCACTGAGGTTCACCCAAGAATTCTTATTCTTCTCTCCCATTTCCTCCACTTGTAAAAGGTCAAACCCATAACCAAAACAAAACGAAACTAAAAAACACATTTATTTAATGTGTATCTACTGACCTCAGCAGCAATACAAATAGTAATTCCAATGCTCCCTATTTCTCCAGCCGAATAAGCAAAATGTCTATCCCAATTAGCTAGTAAGTAAAGAATTCTCAGTAAGTAAAGAATTTAGTAAGTAAAGAATTTGGTAAGTAAAGAATTTAGTAAGTAAAGAATTCCCCCGCCCCCCAAAAATAGCATGTGGTAAATAGTTTTTTAAAACCTATGATATTTTACAAAATGAAAAAAAGTTATTTTACAAAGTCAGGAATCTGAATCAGTGGACTAAAGTTCCTTTTTTTTTTTTGAGGAATGACAGTAAAATTCCTCAATTATTTCTATATGTAAAATAATGAAAAATCTGACATTCATTCCATTTTTTTTTTTTTTTGGCTTTTGGGTCACACCTGGGGGTGCTCAGGGGTTACTCCTGGATTTGCAGGAATCACTCCTGGCGGTGCTCGGGGACCATATGGGATGCTGGGAATCGAACCCGGGTTGGCCGCGTGCAAGGCAAACGCCCTACCCGCTGTGCCATTGCTCCAGCCCCACTCATTCCATTTTCAGTGAACAGATCAAACCTTGGATCGCTACTTAACTGCGTGAGTTATGACTCAAAACTCAAACTTTGAAATTTCAGCTCCTTCCTTTATCTCACCTTCTAAACGCCCATTTTTCAATGTTTTATTCCTCTAGTGATAAGTGAGCCAATAAGTCTCAAGAGAGAAGAGTTGCTAGCACCCCAGAACTACACACAATGTCGATTAATATCAGATCACTATTCCTGCAATAATCAGGCAAAATAGCTCATCAGCTGAAAGGTTTTGCAGACTCAGGTTCCCTTAATTGAGCCGCTGATTCTGAAGTCGGCTTCATGCAATGGTCTAGTTACTACTGCACCTTCCAGCAACCGGTGGGTCTTACATTACCTTTCTGTAATCCAGCGCCTATTACAGTAGTGAAGAAATGGGCTGACGGTGTGACAAAATTACCAAAATCATCAGCCTAACTAAAACATGACTCACGTATACACAGCACTAAAGGAAGACAGTCAAGCTTCAGGAAAAGTCTAGGTCAAACAGTGCAGGAATCGTGAATGACATTCCCCAAGAGGCTGACTCAACGTTTCTGAGAACTACTAGCTCTCACCTACGAAAGGACTCACCCCACTCACAGACAGACAAAAAAAAAAAATTTTCCCGGATCACATGAAAAGGTTTGCTTTTGAAGTCTTTCCCGTCGTGCAATTACCGAGAAGACTTGAACCATATACATCAGATCTCCAGCCCCCGCACACATCGGGGAGCTAAAAATAGTGATTCGGGCCTGAAGCAGAAACCCTCCATCCGAACACACGGAAATTCCCCCCTTTGCATTCCTGCATCTTGAACATGTCCCTTCGACGGGTGAACAGGGCCTGGGTCTTCTCCCTAATCAATGGACCCGAGAGGCTCTATCTAGCGACGCTTTAAGGGGGGGGGAAAGACACACACACACACACACCTGCCCACTGAGCAGGTGACCCGTGCCGGGGGATTCCTCTCCGCCTGGTTACAATATCTCAGTTTCTAAAATACTACTTCCCCCGAATAGGATGATAATTAATATATATCCAAACTCCGACCCCCACCCTAGAAGGATTTCCCACCCCCCCTACCCCCCACGACCCCCCATGCGTACTCTCGGGTCGCAGCAGCTGTCAGAAGCTCAAAGCTGTCAAGTGGGCAGGCAGGTGCAGCCGGGCTCCACCTGCGACCCTTGAGCGTCCGAGCCCGGGGTCGGGATCCGGGTTGGGGTGGGGGTCGGGGGGGGGCGGGTCCGGAGGCGCCAGCCAGGAGGGTCGAGCCGGAAACCGAGGCCCACGGGTGACCCCACCCCTCGTGGGGCGCTACCTGGAAGGTGCGGCGGGAGGAGCGCAACACACACACACACACACGCACACACACACAACACACACACACACACACACACACACAACACACGCGCGCCCCGAGCCCTGCCCAGGCCGGCGCCCCCGCGCCGCTCTCGCCGCCCGGCTCCGGCCGAGCTCGCCTCGCGCCGCACCGGGGCCGCCGGGGCCGTCGGGGCCACGGAGGGCGCCCGCGGGCCCGACCTCCCTCGCTCGCTCGCTTGCTCGCCGCCGCCGGGAACGGGGAGCCCCGAGCCCCCCGCGCTCGTTCCTCTCCCCTTCAGGGCCGAGCCCCGCGGGGTCCGCTCGGGCGGGCGGGCGGGCGGGCGCCCCCCACCCCCAACCCACCCCCCTCCCCACCCCCCTCAGCGCCGGGGCGACGGGAAGGTCACCGGGCCGGGCCGGGCCGGGCCGGGACGAGGCGACGCCGCCCGCGCTACCTTTGGCCTCGCAGTCGGCGCAGTACTTGTTGTCCTCCTCCCGCAACAGCTTGGACAGGATGAGCTGGTGCTGCTCGTTGAGCTTCTGCGCCTTCTCCCGGCAGGAGCGCGTCGCCATCGCGGCGGCGGCGGGGCGGGCGGGCGGGCGACGAGACCCCCGCGGGGCGGTCGAGCACCTGGCGCCGCCGACACCGCAGCGGACTCGGCGCAGGAAGCGGCGGCGGCAGCAGCTGGAACAGGAGGTGGAGCGGCGGCCCCGGCGGCGGCGGCGGCAGCGCCAACGTGTCCCGCCTCCTCGCCGGGCCGGCCCCGCCGCACGCAGCGCCCGAGCCGGCGAGGGGGGAGGGGAGGGGTGGAGGGACGAAGCCGCCGCCGCTTCCGGGTGGCGCCGCAGGAAGGAACCCGGGCGCCGGGCGCTGCGCATGCGTCGAGCTTCCCCGGCGGCCGCGCGCGGGTCGCTTCGGTCCTCCCGGGTGATTTCTTAAAGGTCCCTCGCACTGCCCGCGGACGGCTTTCCCCGCTTTTGAGGCGCGACTGAGGCTGGTGGTGCAAGTGTCCTTGGCTCGAGGCGACTTTTCACTTGCCACTTGGCCTTTGGTCTCGGCTGACCCGACTTTGAAAAGTGGGAGGGATAGTGACTGGGTGGCTTCCCGTGCCGTCCCTGTGGGTTTCACCTGCTGTGTGGAAACCGGCACTAGTTCTAGCCTGGGAACTAGAGACACGTGAAATAAAGTCAACTGAACACTCATTTTTTTTTTTTGGAGGGTCACACCGGCAATGCACAGGGGTTATTCCTGGCTCTGCACTCAGGAATTACTCCTGGCGGTGCTCAGGGGACCATATGGGATGCTGGGAATCGAACTCAGGTCGACTGCATGCAAAGCAAACGCCCTACCCGTTGTGCTATTGCTCCATTCCTCCAGCCCCTGAACACTCATATTTTACGGGAGAAAAAGAGTGTAGTGCTGATCTGTACTGAGGGCCAACATTAATTGTGTGATGGCTTTGTGCCATGAGCTACCTAATTAACCCTATGATGCTGCATTATTTCCTGATGCTACAGATGAGGGAAATAAAAGGTAGAGAGGTTAAGTAACTTACCCAGGTTACAGAGCTACTCAATCCAATTGAGATTTGAGTGCACAGCAATGCGTTCTTCCATAAGGGAGGGAAAGTGGGGACATTGATGGTGGGAAATGTAGGCTGATGAAGGGACTGGTGTTGGGACACTGTATTCTGAAACCCAATCAACTCTGCAACTATGTATCTCACTTAATAAGGAAGGAAGGAAAGAAGGAAGGAAGGAAGGAAGGGAGGGAGGGAGGGAGGGAGGGAGGGAGGGAGGGAGGGGGAAGGAACAAACAAACTAGGAAAAGACACTTGAAAACAGTTCAGAGTTCCCCCCAATTTATGCTAATGGGATTTGATGTGACAATTTTAATATTTTGACATCACATGACTTTCCAGCAGCTTCTGATATGGAGCTTAGATAAGCAGAATAAGCCTACCCCTTGCACATAGTCTGGCAAACACTAAGAAAGTCAGTGAGCTAGAGTTTGAGTCCTACATAAGGTCCCTTCTTTAAGCTGACCCTCTTGCTCAACCAGCCCCAGTCTTGGTGCATGGTCTCAAGGTTTGTGGAATTAAGTTGAATGATGAGGACATGGAAGATCTGAGTACTTGCAAAAGCTAGATCTTAAATGTCACGGCTCTAACAAATTATAAATAAGAGAATATTTTTGTGTCTTCCGACAAACAGATAAAACCCTTCAGTGGGAGGCAGAACTTAAGGCCCGCATCTTGAAAAATCTCTTCATTTAGATAGTGGTCTGGAAGGAGATAGTAAGAGTAGCATACAGAAAAGCACAAAGTCTTGAAAGAGTATACTTAGGATGAGTGGGAGATAGGTTGACTATCAAATGCAACTGAAGAGGAGGAGGAGGAGGAGGAGGAGGAAGAAGAAGAAGAACAACAACAACAACAACAACAACTTGATAAAACACATAAAGAAAGCCAGTCTGATGAATTTAACAATAGAAAACTTACTTTTTCTTCAGCTAGGATCAATAAAGATAAGCACATTTTTTTTAAATTGAAAAACAACGCAAGCCAGAGAGAGAGAGAGTGAGAGAGAGAGAGAGTACAGCAGGTAAAACTCTTGCTTTGTATGCAAATTCAATTCCTGGCACAGGATATGGTCCCCTGAGCCCTGCCAGAGTTAGGAGTAAGTCCTGAGCATAACTAGGTTTGCCCAATCACCCAACCACTCCAAAAAAGAAAAAGTGTTTGAGAAAGCTAGTCCAGTAGTAACAAGTTAACAAATGCGATTTTTGAGTGGGTTTCACCCCCTGTGCCATCCCACCCCCAGAAAATCCTGCTTAGCACTGCAAGGATTCAGAAAAAAATAAAACATTATAAATAGTAAGAAATGACCTACAAGAAGGATTGAAAGGTCACGATAAGGGCTAACAGAAAGAAATGGAAGTAATGCATAGTTTTAAATTTTCTAATAGCTAACATTTAAAAACAGATTTAATAACATTTTATTTTAAGTATATTTATTTAATCCAATTAATTAAAAATATTGCCATCATGTGAGTATTATAAATATTATTGAGAGGTATTTTACATGATTGTTTTTATATTATTTTCAAAATTCAATGTGATTCTACATATATGGCTCATTTCAACTTGTGCTCCTATTTTTGAAATAACCATATGTGGCTAGGTATCTTTTTGAATAGTTATTTAATCTAAGCTTATTGCAATATAAGAGTGAATTGATTGTTTATTAGAGATGTAATAGGAAGAAAGAAGGTAGCTTCTTGGTAGGAATGCAATATTGTATTCATTCACTGATAAGTTAAACAACTTCTATCCAGTTCCCTGAGACTCAAAAGCTTACAGTCTAGAGTGAAATACAAATATGTAAATAGGAAAAATAAGAAAGCCACATGGAAGCAAGAGTGATAGTACAGCAGGTGGGACTCTTGCCTCTAATTGAATTAAAAGTGCAATTAAATTAAAAGAATGACAACTCCATAACCTCTGAGTCCAGAAATAGGAAAGAGAAGGACAGTGAGGAAAAGAAATTGAGGGATTGAAGGAGGTAGCAAAAAGAAGCAATCCAGAAGTACTGGGGTAAGATCCTCAGGTACATCTGGGTGTAGTGGGGTCACACTGTCGCACTGTCCTCCCATTGTTCATCAATTTGCTCGAGCAGGCACCAGTAACGTCTCCATTGTGAGACTTCTTATTACTGTTTTTGGCATGTAGGATATGCCATGGGGAGCTTGCCAGGCTCTGCCGTGTGGGCAGGATACTCTCGGTAGCTTGCTGGGCTCTCTGAGAAGGTTGGAGGAATCAAACCCGGGTCAGCCGTGTGCCAGGCAAACACCCTACCTGCTGTGCTATCGCTCCAGCCCGTAGTGGAGTAATATGCTTCTAATATCTAAACCTATATCCGAACATAAATTATAAATATACTTCTATATCCAAAAGAATCAACAACACTGAAAGCAGTTGACCCAAACCACAGTGACCAAACTTAAAAAACAGACAGTCTGGGTGGTGGTGGGGTAAGGGAGGGGATACCCCAGGGATACTGGTGGAGGGAACCAGTGCTGGAACATAGCATGCCTAAAACTCAACTGATGATAACTTTGTGAATCATAGTGTCTTGATATAAAAAATAAAATTAAACAAAGAAAATACAAAGAGGCTCTGAGAACAAAGGCTTAAAACATTAGTAACCTGAGGAAATCCAGGAAAAGTTCACCAACTCTGTGGGGCTTCAGTCTCCTTCTAACAAAAGGAAAATGTTTTCAATCAAGTTGAAGCAGACGGGAGAACATGAATACCTTGGAGGAAATATATGTGAACTTCTAAAAGTGCTTGCTCGGGGCTGGAGAGATAGCACAGCGGGTAGAGCATTTGCCTTGCACGCAGCCAACCAGGGTTCGATTCCCAGCATCCCATATGGTGCCTTGAGCACTGCTAGGAGTAACTCCTGAGTGCAGAGCCAGGAGTAACCCCTGTGCATCGCCAGGTGTGACCCAAAAAGCAACAAAAATAAAAATAAAATAAAAATAAAAGTGCTTGCTCATATGCTGAAAGCAACAAAAATATCTTGCAACAAGAATCCAGGGGGTGCTCTAGTTGAAGGTAGCACCATAGCACGGTAGCACTGTCCTCCGGTTGTTCATCCATTTGCTTGAGCAGACACCCGTAACGTCTCCATTGTATGACTTGTTACTGTTGTTGGCATATCGAATACGCCATGGGGAGCTTGCCAGACTCTGCCATGTGGGCGGAATACTCTCGGTAGCCTGCTGGACTTTCCGAGAGGGACAGAAGAATCGAACCCGGGTCGGCCGCATGCAGGGCAAACGCCCTGCACACTGTGCTATTGCTCCAGTTCCTCCTAGTTGAAGGTAGGAAAGAAAATTAGATGAAGGTGGATAGGGTCGGAAGGTTAGGCTCTCTGTAGCCAAAGTTTAATTTTTTTCTCCTGGGCCTGAAGAGACAGCAGACGCTTTCACAAAGAGAGAAGACTTGGTTCTGTGACTGTGTCGGCAGACTGGAAACCATGGATAAGGAAAACTATATCAGAGGAACAAATTCTAGACAAGGCTGTTGCAGTAATACTCAAGGAAGATGTGTTGAAGGCCTGTTTGTTTAAAACCCAAACGTAAGGTCTGAAACAGACAGAATCAAATGATATCTTAAAATTAGAAGCAGCAAGATCTGGCAGCTGACTTTATCTGGAGGTTGAGAGGAAGGTGAGAATAACACCAAAGCTCTAAGTTGGGAGATAGGTAAATGGTGATGCCATTAACCCAGATCAAGAATAGAAGTACAGTTTGGGGATTGGAGAAGAAAAAATGGTTGCTTAAGGATACATTAAGTTTAAAGTTTCCACAGGACATCTAATCCCAAGTGTCTAATAAGAGATTGCATGTCCACTTCTAGAGTCCAGAAGAGAGAAGGGAGAGGGAGGAACGAAATGAGAAAAAGAGAGAAAATAAAAATCCAGGTGATTACCAACTCAGGTGATTACCAGAAAAATAAGGAAAGGCCAAGAAGAGAATGAGAGGCCTTGGAAGGAAAGTTTTCTCACAAGTAAAGGTGAGCACCAAAACCACCTGC